CCCCAAAACCCCAAAACCCCAAAACCCCAAAACCCCAGACAACTAAAATTCAAAATCAAAAGAAATTCAAAAATATGAATTTAAAGGATTTAATTTTAAGTAGAATTTTCATAATTTGAATTGGGAAAGTAAATTATTTGAAAGTTTAAGGAATAAATTATCCCTTAAAGTAAAGTAAGGGAATATGCTCTTTTCAATTAAAGACGTGCTTCTTTGAGAAGAAGTCGGCGAAAACGAGTGAGGTGATAGCTGAGAGCTTGATGAGGATGTTGATGGATGGGCCTGAAGTGTCCTTGAGTGGATCACCAACAGTGTCTCCTACAACAGCTGATTTGTGAGCTTCAGTTCTCTTCTCAAGGTAAACGAAATCGCTGTCATTTCCCTTAACTCTATGAACCTTGGAGTGGACTCCACTTTCGACGTATTTCTTAGCATTATCCCAAGCACCACCAGTGTTGGAGAATGAGATGGCAATTTGGACTCCTGAGACAATAGCACCAGCAAGAAGACCTGAAACTCCTCTGGGTCCGAATAGGATACCAACAAGGAGTGGGGAACCAATAACGAGGACACCTGGGGCAACCATCTTTTTAAGTGAAGCGTTGGTTGAAATGGCAATGCACTTATCGTAGTCTGGCTCGGCGTTGTCATTGATGAGACCAGCTCTGAATTGTCTTGTGATTTCAACAATCATCTCATTGGCAGCTTGTCCGACTGCGGACATAGTTAAGGCAGAGAAGGCGTATGGGAGCATAGCACCAACTAAAAGACCTGAGAATTCAAGTGGTTGAAGAATGTTGACTTATGGGAGCTTTGATCTAGTAACAAAGGCACCGAAAAGAGCGAGAGCAACAAGGCAAGCTGATCCAATAGCGAATCCCTTTCCAATAGCAGCAGTGGTGTTTCCAGCAGCATCAAGCTTATCAGTGGCCTCTCTTACACTCTTGTGGAGACCAGACATCTCGGCAATACCGCCAGCATTGTCAGAAATTGGTCCATAACCATCAATAGCGAGAGCAATTGGGAGACATCCGAGCATACCGAGGGCAGCAAGGGCGATTCCGTACATTGAGGCGAATGTGAATGAAACGTAGATGGTTCCAGCAATACAGAGGATTGGAATGATGGTTGACATATAACCAAGGGCAAGACCAAGGATAATGTTGGGTGCAGCACCAATAACGCAAGCTTCAGCGAGCTCTTGAACTGGTGAGTATGCATTGCTAGTATAGATCTCAGTTACCCATCCAATGATGAATCCTGACCAGAGTCCTGAGGCAACACAAGCAAATGCTCTCCATGGAGTGCAAGTAACAGTTGAGTTTAGGCTCTCGAAGGTTGGGAATTTGAATTCTTCTGGTAGAACGTAAAGAAGTGGAATAATGGCAGCAGTCATAAGAATGGTTGAGATAATGAGTTGCCATTTAACAGTTGACTCGACGTTGTCCTTGGTGACGTGAGCAAAGTTGGTTGCGAAGAATGTGGTCACGAATGAACAGAGGATACCAACAGCAGTAATCATAAGTGGGAAATATGCAGCATTTGGAGCCTCAGAAAGTTGTTGACTGGTTGATCCAACGACTAGTGCAGCGCAAGTAGCTTCAGCAAGAGAACCGAACAAGTCAGCACCCATACCAGCAATATCTCCAACGTTGTCACCAACATTGTCAGCAATAGTGCCTGGATTCTTTGGGCTGTCTTCGTCAAGACCTTCGTTGACTTTACCAGCAAGATCTGAACCAACATCAGCAGCCTTGGTGTAGATACCACCACCGACTCTTCCGAAAAGAGCAACAGTTGATCCTCCTAAACCATATCCGGAAATCATCTCGAACATAAGTCTGACTTATTCAAGATCAGTCTCCTTTCCTTTAAGGAACATAGCCTTGTAGATGATGATGATAAGTTGGAGAATGAAGAGGGCAAGGCCGACGAGTACGAAACCGAGAACTTAACCACCTCTGTAGGCTACTATGAATCCATTTTGAATATCAGTAGCACTTTCTTTAGTTGTTCTTACATTGGTGTACACGGCAATTCTCATACCGATGTATCCAGAAATGATGGATGTGACTCCTCCAATAATGAAGGCAGTTGTTGTGTAGAAAGTACCAAGAGTTGGCTCTACGGTACAGGCGAGTAGGACTGAAAATAGTGCTAAGAAGATACCTAGGTAGAAATACTCCTATCTTAAGAAGGTAATAGCGCCCTATATAATATAATAAATTAAAAGATTGAGGGGCAAAAGATTTACCTTTTCGATAAGATTTGAAATATGTTTCATTTAGTCTAGGAGAGCTTATGGATTCTGTGAATTGGGAGCTTCATCTCCGTGCATGAGTGATTTTTGCTCATCGTCTCCTCCAACTCCTCTAAGTTTAGAGTGGTCATTCATATCTACTCTCCTTATCTATGAAATAGGGTTAGTAATTGTTCAATTAGGCGAATATTAATGTTTATCGTCTCAGTTGGATACTTACGAGTAGTGTGTTGACTGTACCCCAAAGGATGCCGAACAGTGAACATCCTAGGACAAGACCATAGGCAAAAGTCTCTTAAATCAAAGGCTAAGGCGTAGAACTCATATATTTAATATATTATTAATTGATCAATGAATTTTAAAATGAATCATCGACTGTTAATACGTAAACTAAAATTTGAATTCATTTTCTCTCGAAATTACTCAATATCAATTTTTCCTGGGGTTTTGGGGTTTTGGGGTTTTGGGG